CTAAATAAAATGTAGCAACATTCTGAACAGAAGAGCCCAGTAACATGTAAGCTAGGACAAGAGAAATTTTGCATATAGCATTTTTAAAAATGAGAGTTCTACCTTTTTCCTGCCATTGTGGTTTTTTCTGGGATCTTGGATATTTAACCTAAATTAATCACACTCAGGAAATTGAGCATTATTTTCCTCTGTTCATGTCAGACAGTTCACATTTCCCTGGATGTTCACAACTAATAACTGGAATATGTAGTAAGAAGACAGTGCTGTTGTGATTGTCTCTTAGTACAGTTTGGGGTACATATCCCCACCTGGCTCTCTGGAGAGGTCTGGTTTTGCTTGCTTGAATTGGCTCTCTCAATAAGAAACAAACCTCTTCAAAGTTTGCTCAGTGGGTTTTCTTCATACGGGTGTCCAACCACTATAGTGTGATCATTATCTTAACGTGAATGAAGTCTAATGGCTGAATAAGTGCCTACCTACCACAACTTGGTTTTATCAAAGACTCATAACAGAAATCTTTCCAGAAAGTCCCAGGACATAGATGTGAAAGTCTTCTTGGTGCTTTATCACCTGAAGTGAAGAATTACGTACCAAACGCCGATCATCCTGCCATCCTTGAGTAAGGCAGAGCTGAGGATCTGGCTCAGTAGGTTCTGACAGCATGGTGTGAGCTAGAAGGCACTAAAAATTCAGACCATGCATTCACCTCACTTTAGGGTGCAGCTGAGAGACTTACGGTGTGATTTGTTGCTACATACTCCCTCTGTAATCGGTAAGCAGTGAATGGTACCCCAGAAGATGAGGCAAAGTTTCTATGATTTGTGTTAACTCAGAATCTGTAGGACTAAAATTAAGTAAGATGAGTATTGGCGCCAGTCTGCAGGCTGATGGCTTTTTGTTTCATCCTTATAAAGGTGTTCTGGTATTTCTAGAATTGAAAGTAGGAGGTACAGAACATGGAAAAATGATGATTACTCACATTTCAAAAGGATTAAAAAAAACAGAAAAAAATAGTTCAAGTTTTGGGTAATGTAACCAAGTTATCATATTTGTTTTCAAAAAGAATGGTCTTTTTACCCTTATTGAGTTGTTGTAGGTATGGATTTGGGCCGTTACATTGCCTAGAGACAGAGTGACGTGGAAGTCAGTGGAATGCTGAGAAACCCGTTAGAGCTATGCTCTGTGCTAAGTCGAAGGTGATTTGGAACTTAAAACACCGTGAAGGGGGAGAGCCAATAAAGGAAGAGGACTTTATTACAGGAAGGCCCACAACACCCTAATGAACCTTTAGTAAATACAGAGACCACTAATTCAAACATTGGAATTGCTATTAGAGAACCTTTCTGAGATGAGTTGGTGCTAAAAATACAGACTGGATGGAAGCCGTTGCCCTCCAGACACATACTCTAGAGATGTAACAGCTGGCTCAAGCTGTAAACAATTGCAAACATTCTGCCTCAACCGTATCTTTTCAGGCAAGCAGAAAGAAAATACTGGAATAATTCACTGTGATATTTTCAAAATCAATGACAGCTAACTGTAGCTTGTTTAGGGACTTGGATAATTGCAGAAAAGCTTTGTAACATTGCTGGATGAAGTGCATTTCATAGTGGCCGAGTGTTAGAAAAGCACATCCTGATGTGTGGCTGCTTTGATCTAAATAGGCATACTGAGCAAGAGTCCTCGGCGGGCTGAGCTTTTGTGTACAGCAAAGGAGAGCACAGGCAGGTTTGCTAGTGTTGGGGGACAAAACGCAGAGTGCATAAACTCTCAGTGTGCATCTCGGAGCTTGAAGGAGGCCTAGGAATGGAGAACAGCAGTTTGCTTCCAAGTGGTCACAGTGAAATAAAAAAAATAACATTGTCAGTGTGATGCAGAAAGATGAATGGCACATTAATGAATAACTTCTCAGATGTGCATTGGTTAGTCACAAAAAAATGGAAAAGAACATATATAGACACGCAGCTTTGCAACAGATGGACATTAAGTTAAAGCTGAAGTCAGTAACGTTAATTAAAACGGTAGAGTGAGCAATTCCATATGATCATTTTTCATATAACTCATCAAATGGAACCATACTTTTCTGATTAATTTCTTGGTTTTTTAAGCTCTGATAAATAAGTATTCACTGTCATTTACTTTGAACAACCTTGCATTATTTTTTTCTCTAAAGCAGTGACTTGTAACTCCAAAATAGAAGTATTGAAGAGAGGAGATAATTTTAAGGGGGTACCAACTTTATTGTTAAACTTTCAGATGGCAAAAGAAGAACATTTTCTAAAGCTAAATTGTGATATGTTGTGATTTTCATAAACTAGATTGTGTAAATATAGAAGGAGAAGAAAATATGCTGTGAGTTAAGTGTTGATGGAAGATGCTAGATTGATGTTTTATGCTACCTTGCAGATAAAAATCTGCAGAAAAGTTATGTAATATGGTCATTGTTCTAACATAACTTACTGATACCTTGGTTTCCATGTTTAGTTTCGTCACTCTAGGTGACAGTTATGCCAGAGGTGACTAGCTCTTTTGAATATCTCTAAATATCTGTTGAAAGAATATCTGTTTTGCTGATGGTTTTATCATCAACAGCTATTCACTTGGAAGGGAAGCCGTATCCTTATTCACTCCAGCGAAGTGAGGAGTCATGAAAATTATTTTTGGTTGAGATTGGGCTGAACCAATCTCAGAGGAAGTGGTAGAATTCTAGATTTGAGTCAAATGTCAGAGAGATTGACACCAACCTATTTGTCACTTACATGTGGTAGTAGATAGGCATACGGATTCGAGGGGTGACTCAACATGTTAATAAAATAAAAATCCATTGAGGATCGCTAAATACACATAAACCAGCTCTAATTCAGAAATGCCCTAATCTAAAGATGGCTGGATTTTGGATAAATATTAAGGAAGTATTGTATGTACTGGCCTGGTTCTTAAGATCTTCCTAAGCATCAGCACTCAGCTACAGGCAGGGATAGGATGACAGGCTGTAGAGACTTCAGCTTTGAGCCAGTGCTGGGTTTTTGTAAACCATCTTGGAAATAGCCCTGTAAAATATACAGCATGTTTAGAATGATTATAAGACTCATCATAAGAAAAATTGATCTTGAGTGTGTGTTAGTGAGTAAAACATGAAGAATACATGACAGTCTCTTTCTTTGTAAGCTTCTCTTCTGCCTTCCTCTGTAGCTGATGTTCTTGGGATATTTCTTATTAAATTTGGAAAGCACAACTCATTCTGTTTATTTATGTTCTATAGAAATACATTGTAGCATGAATAGATAAATTATACAGTAAGTATTGATTGTCCACACAGCTACTATTACGTCTTACGAGGAGCGGCTGAGGGAGCTGGGGTTGTTTAGCCTGGAGAAGAGGAGGCTGAGGGGAGACCTGATCGTTCTCTACAACGACCTGAAAGGAGGGTGTAGTGAGGTGGGGATTGGGCTCTTCTCCCAGGCAACTGGTGACAGGACAAGAGGGCATCGTCTGAAACTGCACCAGGGAAGTTCAAGCTAGAAATGAGGAGGCATTTCTTCACAGAAAGGGTGGTTAGCCACTGGAATGGGCTGCCCAGGGAGATGGTGGAGTCACCATCGCTGGAGATCTTTAAGAAAAGCCTGGATGTGGCACTTAGTGCCATAGTCTGGTTGACATGGGGGTGTTAGGGCAACGGTTGGACTCGATGATCCCAGAGGTCTCTTCCAACCAAATCGATTCTGTGGTCCTGTGATTCTGTACTCTGTCTCATAGTTCTGAAACTCATTCTCTGCATTTACTTCCCTTTATGGTATAATCACATTGTCTTTTCATGATGGTTAAATTTCTAATGTGCCAGGTGGGAGTTACATATAGAAGATATGTTTTTTCTTTCTTAGAGGTTATACCACCAATTTTCTTTGTTCATTCTTTTGGAATAAATCGTAAAGAAAAATTACATTTCAATAGAAAAACACCTTTTCATATTTTTTTTGCTTTTTTGACAGAAATTACTGAAGTGGAAAGAAATATTCTTAGCCATAGCTTTTCTCAGGCTAGCATATGAAGTACAGTCATATTTCTTATTCTGTGACATGTAACTTAGTGCAGGATAATCCTGCAGATCTCTCCAACCTCACGGTAATAACTTACAAACGTTTTAGTCTTCTACAATAAGAATTTCTCCTAGCTAACAGTGAAAGCTCTCAAGTAAGATCTGGATCTTCAGTTTAATTTCTGTCTTTTTCTATACTTGTTATGTAACATTAACCAGGAGGCATTCTCTTTTCTTAATTTCCTAATCTATATTAAAAGATTAATGAGAAGTAGGGATTTTTGGAAAGCTATCTTAAATCGGTAATGAATTTCCTTAGCTATATAAATATCTCCTGCCAAGCACATTTCTTACTCACCTTTATTTTCACTTAGATCCTGAATTTGCCTGAAGTTAGCAAGGATTCCAGATACAAAAATAATAAACTCAGAGTCCAGAACAGAAAAGAACTTATTGACATACTGTCAACCAGGTAAGTTAATTAAAAGGGAAGAAATGACATTTAATTGTTAATGCAAATAGTCATGAATAAGAAGCTCTCATCATGTGAAAATTTAAGTTACTCTTTTGAGATACTGTGGTTTTTGAAAAAAGCATTGAGAACACTTACTAATGTTAAATATACTGCGTTTTGCACACAGACTGTATCGACTAGGAAGAAGCCAGACCATAGATTTAAGTTTTCAGAAATATTTTTAACTTATTTTTAACCATTAACTTGAATTTTAGTGAAAGAACCAGTGCTTTCTGCTTTCCTGGATGAATGTAACTCCCAGAAATAAAATACTTGGAGTACCGTTTGCTTTTGCTGTGACTGGGATTTTAGAGTTTCCACTGATAGTTGCTGTATCCAAAGGAGTTCCATTTGATGCTACTCCCTCACTGCTGGTTCTGTATGGTGGTACTCTGTGCCCCAAATTCTCCCCGGGTCAGTCCTTTTGAAATCAAAAGGATATGTGTTTAATATTCTACATAGGAATCATCCTATTAAATACTTTAATTAAAAATTATTTAAGAGGAAGCTCAGGAACCCTTTATTTGAGAGATTAAAATAGCTTAGTTATCTTCCTCATTCTGTTTGAGAAGGCCTTATTTCTGTGGAGTGCTCTTCTGTTTGATGGAGAGGATGATAAATTTATATAATATAAGAAAAAAACTAAACTGTGCAAAGCTACCTGAAGGTGGCTTCAGCAACACTTCATATTTCGGGGGATGAACAGAAGAGGCAGTATATCTGCTGTTGTCAGTGATTCAAGAAAAGTCACACTATCGTTTTGACACTTGGCCTGTATGAGTCTGTCAACAAATGTGTGACAATTATCATTCAGGCAATTTTTGTTTTTTTTTTTTTTTTTTTTCTGAGGAGTGTTAAGTCATATGCCTCCCCTTTTCATTCCATCTGAGAAAAGAGTTTCAGTAGCACACCCTTCCCCCTCCTCTCAACCCCACACATTTTTTGGATGTGGAGAACCAGAATCACCTTGCATTAGAGACTGGAGAGAGAATGATTTTGCTTCTTCCTGTTGCATTTGCACTTTTGTCTCTGTCTTACCTGTCCATTTTCAGGTGTCCTACCCCCAATGAAATACTGAAGTACCAGGTGACTTTGCATTTTCAAGTAATTATGGTACAACTGTTCATGATGAACTTCTGGAACTCGTCTTTTACTTGCCTTCCTATAACAGATGTATTGTGATAGCACAGATGAACCCACTCTTCCTATAAGTTTTAAGCCCTTGAAAGGGAATAGTTATCTTTTGACCTACTTTTGAGCTCTTACATTCTTGACACTTAATCTTAGTTTCAAAGTTGGTTCATGTTGACTTATTTTTTGGAGTTCATTTCATTTAATATGTCATTTATCTGTACTCTGGTACCTTATGAGAGTGCTGGTTTACCATCCACAGATCAATTACTTAATAGCTTGTTGCTTATGGTTAATTTTGAATGCAGGGGTTTTTTTTATGGGAAATATCTGAATAAGAAGATAAAGTTCAAGGAACGGTTGTTCTTTGAATGAATTGCCCAAATTCTAATTTGGTTTTTTGTATCTGTAGCTATTAGTTCACTAGATTACCTCATTGGTCTTTCAATTACTGCTTTATGTCTTTTTTGTCAGAGTTTATGTTCTGTTTTATTAGTATCGTTTAGGCTGAATTTCTGTGTGATTTATATACAAGTATGTGATTCTATACACCCTTTTGGAGTAGATGTTTCCAATAGTATTCTGTTATGTCATATTGTTGTGAAATCATCTGGCATTCAATTTTAAAACACTGACTTTAACAAACACCTTTGGCATTCTAATGGAGGTCGAATATGTTTCCATACACATTCCATGGTAACTTTGCTTTTATTCACTAATGCACAGTTGTTTGTAAAATTATATGTGGTTCATTTTTGAAGTTACTTAGAGAATTAAATAAATAGTTTCTCAGTGCTGAAAAATGTCAGCCCTTGAGAAATGAAGGGAAATGACAAAATAGTAATGGCAGAATTTCACTAAAAAACACCTTAATTAAATCACCGATTGCTTAATAGTATTGCAGCTTCCAGCACATGGAAAATATAAACTAAGGTGCATTAGTTGGAAAGAAACACCTGCAGACCCTCCCATTCACTCACTGTATGTGCACTGCTATCCACCTCACAATGAATTAGTGGAGGCGTGAGCTGGAGCAGCTTAGAGGAGCTGTGATTTTCTTGACATGGGTTCAACTACAGTCACTTTAGTTGAGATGAGCCCTTCCTTTGTATGGTGGAAGGCAAAAAGGAAGGTGAAAGTCCCTCAAGGATTTGGACAGGCCATTCGTCCATGTCTCATTTTGATGCTGTGCCAGGCAGGTTGCACACAACTTGAGGTAAAGCAGCTTTTTTTCCAGTGATGTTGTAATGGAAGAAGTCAGCAAACTTGTTTGGTGTGCCAGGCTGAGCAGTAAAAAGCAGGTAAAAATTTGCATCTATGTATAGAAATCTGATGATTCCTAAATGTTCCTTCTCTTTTGTACATTCTTGGAAACATAAATGGGAATTACGGTTCTGTAGTGGAATCGTTTGAGACTGTTGCTGCTGCTAAGGCCAGTGAAAAAATTCACGGATATGGTCTATGTCTCAGCATCTCAACAATAATTATGGTGACTAGAAGCATATGGGAGGAAACATATGGTTGTGTTTCCTTCCCTTTCCCCCAACCTCTTCTGCTGCCATTTTCGGTTTATGCATTCTTCCTGTTCCACTAAGTTATTGGTATTTTAAGCACCATTTGTATGGCAGATACTTGGTACTCTGCAGTTGCTTGCCTATATCACTGCTGTTGCACAGTAGATATATGCACACTTTTTTACAAAACTGTTGATGCTGTTATAATCTTCTTGAGCTGGGGTGCCACCAGAGCCTAGAGTAGACTTCCATTGACCTGTCTAACCCGTCCCCTTCCTCCTATCTCTTTTGAACTATTTCCAGAGGTATGACTTACCTTTTCTTTTCCGATTTCTCTTAATTTTCAAAATGGACTAACTGCAATTCATGTCTAACTTCTGAGCACTTAGTAAGTGCAGGAAGAAGGATTCTTTGCCTGCTCCTCTTAAGGAAAGGATTTCCCAGGTTTTATTTAGGAACAGGAGAGGTTCAGACCTACTGAAAGGGTCAGGACCTCCCTGAAGTCTTAAGCATTTAATTCGCTGCGTGTGTGGAGCTGAAATTTTTAAAAACATCTAAACTCTGAATACCAAGGAGACAGTTGATGCCTTTTATTTCCTAGGGTAAATGTTAAGCGATTGAGATCCTTTGGCCACAGTTGTATAGATGTGTGCACAAAGGAAACATTGGTACAATTGGTCGATGTTAAGGAATGCTGTTTTTTAAAAAAAGGCTGTATCTTGGGAATTCTCGACTCGAATGACCTCTAATTTAGATCAATAATTCTACTCACGGCCTGCAGTAACTGTGCCAGATTTCAAGGCAGTTAGATAAGCATGGGGATTATATAGCACTTAGAAGAAATTGACCTTTAAACAGAAGACTTTTCAGAAAGGTGTGAGATGACCTGTTCATCACAGTTGGATGCCCTGAGCTGAGTGAGAATACAAGATGGAGTGGAATACGGCTTGAGGCATAAATGTAGCTTGAAACAACATCTCCAAGAGGTGTGAATTGCTCCACTCATTTCAGGAAGAATTTTCTCATCCTCTCTTTTCCCTGACAGAAATGAAGAGTGAAGCACATCTGTCCTTAGCTCTTCACCCCAGCTTGCTGTCTTGCTCACACCATCTCACCTCCCTCTGTAGGGTACACATGGAGGGCAGAGGGAGAGAGCAGGTAGGGGAGGATAAATTCACATATCCACAGAGATTGTCAGATCTTAATAAAAGGGACTGGAAGGTAGACCACTCTGGAGCGGTATGCTGCTTCCCAGGGACCCATCTGTCACATTGTGACCTGAGGAGGGAATTACAGAAACCAGTCCCAGACATCTTGAGAGGAGAAGTGTTTTTCAGTTCTGTCTTCTATGGGGAAATGAGTACAATGCTGCAAGGACCACTGGGTCATAGGATATTCACGGGGAAGCAGAATATAGGCCTGTGGGGTATTTTGTACTTGCTTTGGTATCGGTGGTGGTGGCCCTTTCCCATCTCTAGTCCTCTTCCTACTGTGCTCTTTTTTTCCTGTCCCCATCATCTTCCTCCACTTCCTAGGGCTCTCCCAGCTTCTTACTTCCTCCTTCTCCTCCCATTGCTGACATTTGCACATCCACTCTGTTGGTTTACAGAAAAGGAAGTTTCGGTGCCTTCTGTATCTTCCTTTTTATTTAGGTTACATTCTCCCCAAATGACAACAAAGCAGAACTCTGACAAAAGCAGATTGCCTCTGAATGCGCCTCTGAATGCGTGCCTTTCTTGGGTGTGTGCCAAGAGTCAAATTTAAAATGACCCTACCTGGGTGGAGGTCGGGTTCAATGGCTACTACAGAGACCCCTGAGACTCCCAGCTCATGTGAGAACTGACAGACTACAGAGCGCTCTGGTTTTTATGTTTCCAGTGGAAACCTCTGGTTTGTGAGTTAGGTGTACATCTATCCAAAAGACCTGAGTTTTTAATTGGTGCTCCGTTCCACCCCCCCTTTCCACTTTTACCTTCGCTTCCTCTGGAACAGAATATTACCAGGCACAAGGTGGATTATTTTGTATGGGTGTATATATACATACGTATGTGTATAGATGCAAACATACGTCAAGACATACATAAGCGTGTGCATGAAATTTGAGATGTATCTATGCAAAAGGTGGTATAATGCCAGTTTTAAGAGAAGCTGCTTTGAGGAACGCGGCTTAATCTGTTGACCTCCTTCTTCAAAGTACCCCAGAAACTGAACGTTAATCCTACCCCGCACCTCGGTAATGTGACACATTTTCAGACAGTGCAGCTAAATGTGTACACCGGGGTACTTCAGGAAATTCACCCGTAAGGGGAACAG